AGAATATCACAAACATATCACAGAAATCAATAGCATTACAAAGAATATTTTGTTGAAACTATATACTAATCATGTGTTATTTATATAATCGAGTAAGACAATTAATTAAAAATCGTCGGAAATTTGTTTAAACGATAATGGAATAAGTTGAAGAAATAAATTCACACAAATATTTCATTATAACTCTTCAAAAAATGAAAAGAAGGAACTGAAATAGAAAGAGATAAAAGAAACAAGAGATAACATTAAATCTGAAAAAAATACAATGAAAGAACAAAACCAAAGTTAAAAAAATAGAAAATAGAATTATTGCCTGTGTCTTGTCTTTTTATCGGATTATCAAAAATGCAGGGCTCTAGGAGGATTTTTTATGGGATGTCGGGTTGTTTTTACAGGTCAATGTGGCGAGGTTTGGAAGGACGCTTAGGTTGGGGGCTTCGGGGTTAAAGTTGCTGGGTCTGGGGCGTGGTGTTCACTTTCAGTTGCAAACGCCTCTCCGTCTTTGCATCTTAGTTATTCTACGAAACAGTCCTCGCATGCGGCCCCTTGAAGACTGGATGTTCAATATCTGCGCCTGTGAACTGGGCCAGGTTTAGGGTGCATGCTTGTTGTTCCTTCAGTGTCTTCAGAGACCGAAGGAGCAATTGTCCGAAGATGATCATGATGATCCTTTTGCCGCGGCCTCGAGCTCTCAGACGTGTTGTGTCACGACACCATTTTGTGTTAAGGACACAGGGGTGCTGCAACCCGTCAACCGCTGCTACAACTCAACTGCTGTTGCAGCCGCCCTTCAGGATGGTAAGGTACTTTGGGTTGCCTTTGGGTTAACATAGGGGCCTGAATAATTAGAATAGAGTTTGGGGTATATTATACTATAATTATAGTAAGGAACCCCCAAAGCCCAATTCCAATTATTAAGGCCCCTACATTAGGTTGCTAGCAAGCGCTGTGCCCAGGGGTCTTATGTAAACCCCTTCCATCCTAAGCCTTCGCTATGCAAAGCTCGTAAGATGCTTTGCTGACAGCCAAGCGGGTCTGGATAACTATTCCTCAAGGCTTCGTAGTGCCGGTCCAAGCGTTTCAGAAGAGTTTGAGATTCAATAGCTTATGTGTATCGCGAGGATAACCCTAGACCCGAAACTGCTTTTTCGGGGATTAGGCTAGACTCAGAACTTTACCTTAAAACCCCCAAATATCCTGTTTGGTCCACAGAACCGTTCCAAACCCCAACTGGTACTAAACCCGCAATGCTCAGGCTTCTGTCGGAGGAGGTGGGCTGCGAATTGTTCCACGACGTCGGGGAGAGGCCTGGGTTTCTGGCGCGAATGCTGGGCCGACTGTATTATTCATCTGTCTTTGCTAGTTTAACACAATTGTAGGTGCATGCGTGCATTGCACTCATGGTTCGCAGCTTGAATGGTTCGATTATCGAGATAGAATTGCCGCTACTTGTGCATATGTATGCCTGTGCATGGATGTACACAACAACACTCATACACTTAAAACTCAACCTTTTTCTCTCTGCCCTTCCTGTCGCCCGAATGTATGAAGAAATCCTCGTAAGGGAGCCTAGGCGGTAGCCTAGGCCTACACAAGAGGTTTCTTTGGCTTCCCAAATCCTAAACCCTAAACCCTCAAGAACAGGATAAATAGAACTTGTGTGAGTTCCGCTGCGAACTTCATCTTCATTCGTTTCGAATTTCAACGTGTGCGAAGAGACACCGGCCCAATTCCAAGCCTCGCCAACAGGCAGGCAACCAGCCCAGCCCAGCCAGCCCAAGCCCAAGCCCAAGCCCGAGAGCCCAGCCCCAGCCCCAGCCCCAGCCCCACCCCTCGCCGCCGGTCCGCCAGCCCGACCCGGTCGAGTCCCAGCCGTGAACTCGAAACCAGCAGGACAAACTTTCGGTCAAAACCCCGGGCCCAAACCCTACATACGATTTCTATGAACCTTGAACCCTAAACCCAGAACCCTGAAGCCCAAACCCCAAACCCTGAATCCCAGGCCACGAGCTCGGAGGAAGCCGATGACAACAAACCTACGGAGCATGTGCCTCCCAGCGGTGTGCAAGCCTCGAAAGGCGCGGGCAAAGCTCGCCGACGGCAAACCCTAAATTACGGAACCCTAGTGTTGAGGGTTGAGGTCGAGGGCAAGGAGATCTCGTGATTTCGTTGTGTGCTGGTTACCTGAAGTCTGCAATGAGTGGTTTAATCAGGGTTGGGTTAGGGTTTCGGGTGTTGCCTTTCTAGCGAGTTGCATCACCATCGAAGAGTCGAAGGTTCTGAAATCTCAGGGGTGGGGACTGCCACCCTAAACCCTACACCCAAACCCTAAACCCCAAACCCTATACCCTAAACCCTAAACCGCAACCATCCTCCTGGAGCCCGCAGGTTTGGCCTCCACAAGCAAGCCAGATTGAAGCCAAAGCTCTGCAGACAAGCTTTAAGCCCCCACACCCCTCAACAACCCCTGAATCCTAAGCCCTACCTAAACCCCCCCAAAGTAGGTAAAATAATGGCCCAAGACCTCTAAAAGGCTATTCCTTTACATACTTTTGGGGTCCAGGTAAACCCTAAACCCCAAGGAGAGAGTCCAAACCCCAAGGAGAGGATCTCTGTGAAGAGTCCGCGATCCTGGTGTCGCAGTCAGTGAGGTCCAAGCTTCTGGTTGCCAGGCTCAAAATGTGTGGCCTTGGGAGTTGAGGGCTAGGGTTTGAGGGAATCCCGGGCCCCGAAATCCAGAGAAGCCCGTTCGGGCAAAGTCTGAGTGTTTTAGAGCGCAAACGCTTCCTTTCAGGGTTTAGGGCAGCTTTAGGCCCAAAAGGGCTTGAGTTTGAGGTGCAAGAGTTGAAACCTAAAGCCCTAGATACAAGACAAAGAATGTGGCTATCAGTTGCCTTTGGCTTGGGTGATACCCCATACGAGAGTCTTCAAAGTTGTTTTGTACATGACGTCTGACAGGCTGGCCCGAGTGTGAGTGTCAAAAGCATGACAGTTCGAACTAAGGATGAGCCGTTCTTTGCCCCTGCGGTGTTCCGAGAAGCGGGTGAAGAGCCCAACAGCAAGATCAGACACTTGGTAGCTGTATGCACAGACTTTATGCAAGCATTCTAGCATAAGCAAGTTCGCATTTCTCGACCATGGACCTCTCGTCAACCAAGGATACTTCAGCTTGGAGGGCGACTTCGATTTACCATTCGACGTGGTGCCTGCGGATGACCAGCGTTGCTCAGCCGGTGCATGGCATTCGTGGACGGGTGACTAGTGGCAGTGCAGGGTTTAGGAAATCATGTTAGATTTAGAGGTCGCAGGTTCCGAGCGGTTAGGGTTTAGGGTTTCGGGTTTAGTGTTTAGGGTTTAGGCAAGAGAATCAGGCTACTTGGCGCCGTCTTTGCTCCCCCTCGCCCAAAGACATGGCGTGACTGGAGCGGGAGACCTGACGGTACTTGACCGTATCATCGGGCAGCACTTCAAAGCTTGCACAGTTCTCATGCCGCTCTGCCGATCACAGGCCGTTCCTACTCGGTTACGCTCTGTTTCATGTCCTTCAAGTCGTTCTGCTGACTTCCTCGGACCTTCAGGTTTCGGGGTGATCTGGGCCAGGATGCTGAGAGGCGGCCCAAGCTTTCCGGCAGACGTGTCGGTCGGTGGGGTTTATGCGGTTTTAGGTTTGGGTTTGGGGATTTAGGCTTTAGGAGCCAGCAGGTGCTGACCCCACACCTCACATCCTGCACCCCCCCCCCCCGCCCCCCCAACGCTTCAACACCATTTCTCCACTTCAAACCTACAAAACACAAAGCCCCCCCCAACAATCCAAACCACTGTTTTCAGCACGCTTCAGCGGCGATTTAAATACTATGGATTAACATTGAAGAGTTCTTGTATATATAATATTGACAGTGTACAGTCTTTTCATGAAGCAGGAACAAATTAATGACAGAAGCATCGGGACCTAAAAACAAACAGGAAATATCTAGAATTAATAATGGCCCGAACTTGATAAAGAACGAAGTTATGGACGCCTTAACTGGTGTACCGTTAATTGAAAACAACTGTCACACGATGGTTGATGTAAGTGATTGGAAAATGTTCGTTGAAATTGTGGATGCGATGACCTTTGACATTATGAGAAGAGGGGAAGCAAAGAAAGTGAAAGTATAAACCAAGGAACCCAACTGAATGGCAACACCTTATACCGTAATGAACGAGTAGTCATACAGTGGGCTATTGTATTTGTTTTGGGAGGTGCTTTGTGT